AGTTCGGAATGTTCCTCGGAGAAAAATCGAGCGCTACGTTCGATGAAGCGAGGCGCTCCGAGGTGGCAGATACACGAAAACACACTCGCGAATAATCGCCAGCCGTTTCTTGCCGAAGAATCATCCTCCGCTTTCCCGTGGAAACCCGTTCGGCCGGAATTCCCCGCGGTACGGCGTGTCCGAGGCTCGAAAGAGAGTCCGCGGTTCCGTCGTGATAATGATAAATGGGCACGCAGTAGTTTACGATTTAATATCAATCTCGGCCGAGCGGCTGCTTATTATCGGCCATTAGTAAAGTTTTAATAACGCAATACGCCGCTCGGCCCGGGGGTGGGTCCGTCGCGATTTATCACTTTCATCGCTTTATTACCGGCGTTCCGAGCTTCGTTTTACTTGTTGATGGTGACACCGCTCGAGCGATTTCGGGCGTCGAGGCTCTCTCGACTGCTCGCTCCCCTTCACGTTCCATAGAACTGTTCTAGTCTGTGTTCCAAAAATTCCTAGTACCTCGCAATCAATCCTAAAATACTAGAGTCCTTAACACATTGCGTACCGGTAACGAGAAATCTTTTTGTTACACCAAATCAACTATTTTGCTATTATCAATGTATTATCTTCAAACGAAATGTCCACCTGAAGTAGAATGAAAAATTTTGTATTTCTTACAAATTGTCGATAGTAAAATATTACACGAGCTTAGTAACGAAACTTAGTACGCCAAGGGGTTAATAAGCCGCAATATCTCGCGCTGCTTATTCAAACTTCCTTGTAAAAGATTCCGTTTTTCAAAGAGTGACTTCAGAAGCCTTCCGAATCGAGGCGAGACGAGAATCAAAATATTTTCGAACGAGTTTGGACTAGAGTCTTCGGGGACCGATCGATCCACGAATTTACAGGATATTCCAAATATTTACAAACCGTCGGAGCGCCGGACGCCGCTAGAATTCGATACGGTTCACGGTGGAATTCACGCGCGGCGTTCGCCATGTCGTCGGCGATCCCCGGCTATTTTCGCATGTATTCTGCGTCGAGGTGTTGGCAGCGGATCCGTTCGGGGCGAGGAGCATGAGTCTCCGGAGATTCTATTTCGCCGCTGAGTCACGATCCCGTGTTTGTCGACGTGAAAAGGGGAACCGCGTCCTCGTGGGGACATCCCCGTGCACCTCCGGAACCCTGTAGGTATCAGTCGACCTTCGAAAGGCTCGCTGTCACCCTTTGATCCTTCGTCCCTTGTCCGTTTATCCGTCGCGGGCAGCAGGGGCGACCGGGTGAAACGTTCGAACGAATACGACCTAGCTGGAGAATCGTTTCAACCCTCAACGTATATTTTTCGAGATTTCCTCGCAGTTTCGTTTCCGTGAGCAATGCGATACTTTGAACTGTAGAAAAGGAAGATACTTTTTTAGCAACTACTCTTGTCAGACATTGTTCTGAATAATTCGATAGAAGAGAAAGGAACTCTACGATCATTGCTCTATGTTAACCCTCTATAGGCCCATGTAACTTTGAAGTCAGGTATCAGTATATTGGCGTCTTGTTGATTTATTTCATTTTGCACTCAAAGTGGCGAATAAAATGAAGTAACCGGTTAACTGCAACTTTTATACGCTCAGGCGTGAAAGTTTGTCATTGTAACTTGGAAGTTACGAAATACATTCGTTTGATGAAATTATTGAAACTATTAAATATATTGTTAATTCGTGTTCATATGTGGATATTTATTAATTTTGTCCTACATAGATTTTGTTATAATTGTGAACAAAAATTCGACCCATAGTGGGTACTCTAAAAATAGTACTTCGATAAATAATGAGTGAGACGAAGTTAATATCAGCGCTTATAACATTCAATAATTGTGAATTTTATGTGACATTTTGCAGGTAAAATGCTAACGTTAAGCGCTATGGAAATCTTCGTTGTTCCGTAGTTATTCTTCTGTAGCGAAGGGAAGTAGGAGCGATTATTTATTTGTCACAATCCTTACGCTATTATCAGTTACGTTATTGAACACTTTCATTCGACAAGTAACTCAAAAGCGCCGGTCAGTGACTAACAGGCGCTTACCGCGTTAAAAAACTCAAAGCGAAATCCCCGAAATACCCTCAACGATCCGACCAACAGGAAATGTTAAACCGGCAGAATCCACGCTACAATCTCCCATTTCTGCATTCAAGAAACCATCCCCACGAGGCCTCCGAGATCAACCCCATAGATCCACTCGAAGCTCCGCATTGCCCGGTCTTCCTCGAGAAAGAAGCAGAAACCGTTCATATTTGAGATCCCATTCCAACCCCGGAATCGCGAGCTTCCCTCTATCCCGGTGCACCCACCCCTCCGGGACAGCGGTACACGTGGCGGGTCCAGTGGGGCTCTCATGGGCTATCTCCCGATAATCGTGATCCAGCCGATGGCACGGTTCGGTAGCCAGGCGAGGAACGCACGGGGAAAAAACGAAGAGGGAGCCCGAAGAGCGACGGAGACGGAGGTAGAAGAGGGGCAGAATCGTCGTTGACGAGGCACGGTCTCTCGGCGGCAGGGGCGGCGGTGGGTGTAAAAGGAGG